TCGTCCAGCGTGAGCAGTACCCAAATGCCAAGCAGAAATCCAAGGATGCCAAAATCACGAGTAACAAGCCAGCCCCGTTGCACCAAGGGCTCTGAAAGGGTGGGGGCATGATACATAATTGTATAATACATTTGAAAGCGGAATAATGGGCAGACTAAATTCTGAGGTCTAGCTACGGACGTCCTAGGGCTTTGAACCTGTTTGAATGTACTTACTACAGCGTTTATTGAATTGAACCCAGTTGTATATTGTGCAAACTTGGCAAGTGATTCATATTCGCTAGAGTGAATGCAGTGGTGACTAGACAAAGATGTCGCAGTAGGAAATGAAATCTTTCAAGTGCTTAGTAATTTTAATTGATAGTGTTCACAGTAGTAACATAGCACATAGAATTGAGATTTATTCACAGTAGTAACATAGCGTACGCAGTACTAGAGTCCTATGTTCAAAGGTGAAAGCCCTTGTCTCTCAGGAACGAGGTCGCTCGACTAGCCGGTACTGCATCTTCGCCGCCTAGTTATCGGCAACAGCAAGAGGTGTTTTATCATTAATATATTGCATACAATTCAGTTGCAGACTTAGTTGCGCAAGTGAAGCGATGCAAGAGCATGTAGGTAGTAGCAGTCAATCAGCAGCAGTGGATTGCAAAACAAAATGATTAGTTTTTAAATGCGAAGCATTTTTTAGCGAACTTCGGCGACTTTGAGCGTATCGATCTATCTATCTAGCCGCCTACGGCTTTCAACTCTCCTGGCCGTTTCAATAATGGTATCAATACCAAGCTTTGCATGGCATAACATGACTGTATGAGCAACATATTTGACTAGTCATAACATAAAAATCATGACATGGATGTCATGAATGTCATGATTTACATTTATGGTTCTGCAGCTCTTGTGGTGGTTTCGTTCACATGGCATGTTGCAAAGCGGGTATGGTATGACTTGATTGCATGCCGAACTCAAGCAACCGACCCTAGCATGAAAATTGCGACATGCGTGTCATGTAACAACATGACTACATGCCACGCTAATGACGCACTCGTGACCGTTTTGCTAGCGTCACATATACCAAATTCGGTATTACGGTACGTGAAAGGATGACGAAAGTATGTGACTGGTGCAACTATGAGAATCATGAGATGCGTGTCATGTAGCAACATGAGTACATGCCACGCTCATGATCCGCTGGCGGCCGTTTGCTAGCTTCACTTATACCAAATTCGGTATTACGGGACGTGAATGGATGACGAAGCTATAATACTGGTGCAAACATGATAAACATAAGATACGTGTCATCTAACAACATGACTACAAGCTACGCTCATAATGCGCTCGCGGCCGTTTCGCTAGCTTCACATGTACCATACTCGGTATTACGTGACGCGAACGGACGAAATAGGTAAATGACACATGCAAACAAGATAATCACGACATGCGTGTCATGCAACAACATGACTACATGCCACACTCACGATGCGCTCGCGGCCGTTTGGCCAGCTTCACACATGCCGAATTCGGCATTACGTGACGTGTATGTATGACGAAGGTATGTGACTGGTGCAAACGTGATAATCATGAGATGTGTGTTATGTGTGAACATGACTACATGCCACAGTTATGGCCGCAGTACATTTCGACGTGACGCGGTGCGCGTGCTCGCTGGCATGACGCGTCGCCAGGTGCCGGTTCTGCCATATACTCGCAGGCACACGCCATGCCGCATTGCTTTGACGCATGTGTGTTTGAGCGCGTGTGGCGTCTCTCCGTCACGAAAAGAGGGAGACACAGTGTTGTGTGGGTAACGCATCGGTGTGAATTTTGCGCCGGTTGTCGTCGCGACGGACGCTGGACGTGCCGGTTATGCCTGGCGTCAGATTATAGAGTGCTAGCGTTCTGCTAACGCCTTTGGCTAGCGTGCGCACGCGTCACCGCTACATTGGAGTATATTGGGCCCTTCATGATGCGCTCGCGACCATTTTGCTAGCTCCACATATACTAAATTTGGTGTTAAGTGACGTCAATGGATGACGAAAGCATATGACTGGTGCAAACATGGTAATCTTGATACGCGTGTCATGTAAGATCATGACAACATACCACGCTCATAGCGTGCTCACGGTCGTTTCGCTCGCTCCAGATATACTAAATTTGGTATCACGTGACGTGAATAGATGACGAAGGTAAATGACACATTCAAATACGACAATCATGACACGGAAGTCATGTACGGCATCATTTACCTCCACCTCGTAACGTTGTGCTGATTTTAAAATGGCATATCAACCTTTTTCATTCGTGCTTCGCATATCATCGATTCCTACTGTACGCGGGATCTGCCATTTTTTTAACTGACGTAGGACGTAACCATTCGTCATTTTGGGAAGAAGCGTATTGGTAACCGCTATACATCTGTACGGCATAATGGAAACTTTGTGCTGTGGCTGATGATGACACGAGAAATCACGGCTGAGGCTTTTGTAATAGGTTAAAAACACTCGACGACTCACTCGATGCGCAATTTGGATTGGGTGACGCCTAATGGTCGTTTTACTATCATACCTATCAACATTATAAACATTACGCTTATTAACAAAATTCCTTGCCTGGCATAACGCCTGTACGCGTTCTTTTTGCTAAGGCGTTTCGAGAACTGGTGTGGCTTTCTGGTAGAACAGGAAGAATACTCGAGTGCCATGCGGAAGGAACAGGTCATTTGAGTGAGTTTGATGTTTTTTTTTCGACGACCTAAGGTTTTGTACGCACATCTGCAGCGTTACCCTCAGCCTTAGCCGGATTCACGTTTATACTCACGTGCACTCACACGCACTCCGAAGCAGTATCATTGATGCAACACTTCAATATTTATTGATCAGAGGCATCAGTTAAGTAGGTGGGCGCTTTGACATCCCACCACCATGTCTTCGAGAGCAGTTGATGAATATGTCCTATGTTGTCATCACAGAATGTCCTTGCTTGTTTGCTATCATCGATGAATCCTTCACGAAAGTACGATAATAGAAGGCGAGAAGAACACTGGTTACTGGAGAGATTAGTGTTAAAGAGCATCGACGTTATTCCCGGTCAAAGCTAATTCTAGGCTAACAGACTCGCAAGTCGACTAATTTGGACTCACTCAAGCTCAGATCGAGCTGCGAGTCAAAGTGAGGCTGGGAGACAAATAGTTTGGTCAGTTTGAGTTGCGAGGAAGTCCGGTTGCAGAAACTTTTTGTGAGGGTGAGTCGAAATCAGCGCGGCTCAAGAAGGCTTTAGTGAACCTGAGTCTGAGTGAACTTTAAGCTTGAGGTATATTTCATGAGTGAGTGTGAGTGATCTCCACAACTGCAGCCAACCTATTGTTGGCGAGAACCGCAACTGTTGTCAACCAGAAGACAACGCGCGCGCTGGTCTTGAGGCAATTAAAGGAGGGGGGTCGGTGTCGGAGGAGCTTGGTTAACCGCATAGAGTTTTTTAAGAATAACTAGAGGGGATTCGACCACTACGATCCTTTAGTGACCATGAAAATGATGGGTAGTAGACGTATTTGCTAAGTCTTCGTACGTCAGAGCCTCAAATCGCACTTGTGGCTTCGTTTATTGCTGTGTTTCAGTTTCGTAGTGAAGAAAAGAACGAACCACTTTTGCACTTCGTGACCCAATTGAAAATGTTAAGCCTAAATATATAACGTAGTGAAGTGTAACTGCTGAACGTTTGCTAATTTTCGTGTCATAAAGAAAGCAAGTCCAAGCCATGTGAATCCAAACGAAGCCGGAAGTACAAAAAGTAGACAAATCTGCGTACTACCCATCATTTCCTTGCTAGCTGAAGCGCCGCGCGTTGCAGCTTCCATAGACATTAGCGCCAGGGTTCCCTTTATTCTATTTACAGAAAACTCCATGGTTAACCAAGACTAGCGGAAGCATTGGACTCTCTCTTCTACCATAGTCATGCAGTCACAATAATCAATACGTTATATATCTGCACTGAATGAGCAGGCTGCGCTAAAAGAGACATTCTGGCGTCTGGCAGCGACTACGGTCGTATTTAGTGGCTATGCAGTGACGCAAAATATAACTTGTATTCATGCGACATAGAGATGCGACATGAGTATGAAAAAAACCATTTACGACAGAGAAAATTGCGCCATCTACCGCTGATGAGAACAATGCGTAGATGCAAAGTAACTGGCGCGAACACTTACACTGGCGGAGATGTTGACGATGGCGCTCATCGCGGCGTTGCACATGAGAGAAACCTGGGGAGGCGCTAAGCACGCAGTGATGAACCCGTACTTCCTTCTGGAACATGCCAATCACTGCTAATGGGCAATGAGAGACAGAAGACTCCTGTTCGACACGGAAACACGCCTTCCACTTTTAGTTAATGCGCACGCTGCGAATTTTCGTTTTTCAACTATGCAAAAAAGAAATCTCCTACCAGCACTACCTTGAAGATCAAGCTACGGCGCCGTTCTATAAGGGGTGGTAAGTGAACGGTTGTGCAGCGTGACCACTCGGTTTCTTCGATCAAGATACTCGCTAGCAGACGCTACCTGCATCGGCGTTGCGAGGCAAGAGAAGAATAGCGTAGTAGGGGACAGAGAGTGGAGGCGACGCACATGCGCAATGGCGGTGTAAACGTCGCAGGTAGGAATGCCTAGAGGAGAGGGGGGTGCGAGCGTAGATTAGCATACGCTCCTTGCGTCAGTGTTGCGAGGCGAGAGGGGGGAGCGTAGGAGAGTAAAGTTGCGCATTCTTAGTGTGGGCAGATTGCCTGGAATATAGCATATTCTAGGCACTTTAGTGTGAGTGCGGACGTAGATACCGGTGCCATTGGACATAGACCCAAGCAAAAGATGATTGGCATCTACAAAGAAACATGACAAGTCAGATTTAAAGCTAACTTTGCTTTTCAATCGTTAACTCTGCGAATCCAAGGTCTTGTTTAAGGTGCGTTGTTTAAAACTAGATTATTGCTGGCCCTTTTAGGCTCGTATCTTACGTTTTTGTCCCATCCGACTTCGAAAAAGGCGACCAGGAGAGTGGCGTGCGCGACCAGGAGCAGGATCAGTCTGAGCAGCCGGGGCAGGTACGCAATTAGAGCGACCCAACGGATATGGTGCTTGCGGACCTCGACGGGAAACAGAGGCGGCAACGCGGGCGCCCCGTCGCCGCAGGGCAAGCCGTACGCCAACGTCGTGGTGCTGGCCGTTGCGAGGCCGGCGACCAAGCCGGAGGAAACGGCGTCGACCTCCTCGGGCAGGACGGACGCGTGGTCGGGCAGCCGCGACATGATGAAGGACATGACGCTGTGCGTCTCTTCGATGGAGTCGTCGGCCGAGGCCAGACTCTCCTCGGACGCTCTCTGCGAACGGATATTTGTGGATATATCAGTCTTCTCAAAAGATGAACTGCAGAAACACAGCACACAGCTTGACAGTTCCAGCGATCAGGTATTGCCTCTGCTCACCCCGAAAAAGTTTCCGTGTGCGCCAATGAAATGTACAAATAGTTTTTATTTGTAATACACCCGTTTTTGTATGAAACAGTCCGTGTATTTCGGGATAACGGGGGACCAATTCAATGTAAAAGTTAGGGGGCCGCACAGCCAAATGCTAAAACTAAGCCATCAATTACAGCACCAGTAGCGTACTGCGCAAGCATGAAAGAGGACGAAGAAAACTTGCGCTGTTTCCAGTTTCTTCTTTTTGCTTCACTTGTGCTTGTGTAGTACGTACGCGACCCGTTAAATATGGACATTGATTTATATGTGGGGTTTAACGTTAAAAAACACCATATGATTAAGAGAGGTGCCGTAGTGGAGGGCTCCGGAAATTTCGACCACCTGGGGTTCTTGAACGTGTGCCCAAATCTGAGCACATGGGCCTACAGCATTTCCGCCTTCGTCGGAAATGCAGCCGCCGCAGCCAGGATTCGATCCCGCGACCTGCGGTTCAGTAGCCGAGTACCTTAGCCCCAAGACCACCACGGCGGGGCGTTGAATATGAAAAAACTAGCTTGCAAGAACGGTTTTTAAATATGTGCGCATGCCTAAGTAGCGGGAAAAGCAGACCCGGGTTTCGCATAATTACATCCTTGATAAGTCACTGAACATTCAGTGAAGACTATAACTTCACCAAAGAAATCCCGGCTGCGGCGGCTGCATTTCCGATGGAGGCGGAAATGTTGTAGGCCCGTGTGCTCAGATTTGGGTGCACGATAAAGAACCCCAGGTGGTCTAAATTTCCGGAGCCCTCCACTACGACGTCTCTCATAATCATATAGTGGTTTTGGGACGTTAAACCCCACATATCAATCAACTTCACCAAAGAATATTGTATTGTTAGTGTTCTGTGCAGCGAAAATGAGTTTAAATGAAAAGAAGCGGGTACGAAATGCATGATCACAAGCAAACTGCACGCAGTTGATAACAATCACTGGCACAACCAGTCGGGCAGGCCCCTTAATGTTTAAAGCAATACAGGGACGGTTAAGCAAGCTTATGTAAGCGTGAATTGGGGCATGGTGGATGAAAAACAAAGACGGCAGACAGGAATGACATATATGAAGTGCATGTAACAACTGACTAACAGAAACGAGCATACAAAAAAAGGAATCAAATACAAAGAAGTCGATATCCCTGCGGACAAACTATGCAAGAGGAAGCAAGAATGCCAAAAATGTTAAAAACACATGAATTTTTTTCATGAAAACTTACGCAACCTGAAAGCCACATACGAATTCAAAATGAAAGAAGTGCGGTTATCAAAACTGTGTTTGTTTCGTTAGCAATTGAACTAGCATGTATGTAGGCGAGATGAACGGGCAGCTCACGCGTGCGTCAAAGTACCCCGACAGCATGGTATATGCTTCTATAATTGTAATTTCAATTCTGTCACTGCTTTACGCCAAAACAGTTGTGTCACTGGGTTTCGAGGTACACTTACAGGCAAATCAGTGCTCAGAAAGAGTGACCTTGATTGCAACTCTACTACACAATTATTACCTTCCTGAAGCCTTGTGTTGAGGCACCTGCCTGTCTGTGTAATGTCCTAGGCCCCACATAACAGAAGTTCTATAATGTATTCCTTCCTTGCACTCAACAAATTCCTCGAAATGTTTGACGTTACATGTTGCCTCTAAGTAGTCTTCATCAGTGATGGCTGCTCCTCACGCCAGCTTTAGGACACGACCCCACCATTTTCATTTTAGGTGAGTGGGGTAGGAAGAGAGAGAGAAGCGAGGATATCACATGTGTGTACATCATACAGGAAATCATTCTATTTAAGTTATGCATGATGGCGTGCATGTAATACGGGACCATAAACTTCTGAACTCTTGTAAGCAGTCTTTTATCGAAATGAGGACTTCAAGAAAAAACCGCTATTGGTGCCTATGGTACTTGACTGCCGACCTGCAGGCCGCGGGTTTTATACTAGCCGCGGCGGTCGCATTTTGATGAAGCCAAAGTGGTAGATGCCTGCGTAATTAAATTTAGGTGGACGTCAAATAACCCCAGGTGGTCACATTTTCCGGAGCCCTCCACTACGGCGTTTCTCATAATTTTATCTGGGTTACGGGATGTTTCGAGAATTATAATTAAAAATGCTACTTTAGACTTCTGTCAGTAGGGATTATCTGTGCAACGGCTACCTTTACGAATGTACTTAGGCTGAGTAGGACTAGTCTGCAATGGCGTTCTGCATGCCACCTACCATGCCGATTTTCTATATTCAGATTCTCCAGAAAAGAAAAAAAAACAACACTTAGGATAGGTCACGAGAATGAGGAGGACAAGGAGCATATAAGGAATATTTGTAATTCCTCCAGAAAGTGTTACCTTCTCCTTGTCCTAGCCAGATTAAGCACGATACAGCAGGGCTGGGACCCCGATCTGAGAATAATAATAACTAGCGACGTTTAATGTCACAAAGTCATTGTATGATTATGAGAGACGCCATAGTGGATGGCTCCAGAAATTTCGACCACCTGGGTTCTTTCTTGGGCACATTAGCACAGAGGCCCTCAGGCATTTTTTACTGCATCGAAAATGCGGCCGCCATGGCCGCGATTCAATCTGGCGACCTGCGGGTCAGCAGCCGAGTGTCTGAGCCACTAGACTACAATGGCGGCTCCAGCACTTGGAAAGGAAAAGGGGAGAGTTACAATATTTACGTCATTTTGTGTACTGAAACCATGTTATGAGGCGCGCCGTATACAATAGGCGCTCTATGTAATTTCAACCAGGGGCAGCAAAGTTTGAGAAGAGCCAAGAGAGGCCATCGCAAGGCCGGCGCCGTTGTAGAAGTTTTGTCACCGGTGTCACACGCTGTCGAAAATTTATTAGCCTTTAGAAATCACCGCTATGATTTCGTTGCTTTCAAGAACGTGACGCACAGTCTCATGGTCTAAAAATATTATCGACTGTGAAGGCGTTTCCGTTTACACAATTTAGAGCTGTAAATGCAACAGATACAAAGGAGGGACAGTAGTGCGGGGCGTGTTCGATAGTCTCCCAGACAGCGCAATGGCGAAGAAACTAAGGTACTCACTCTGGGTTTAACGCGGGACATTGCGCTGATTCTGCTTTTTCTCGAAGGATGCAGGTGTGCTTCGATTCTTCAAGCTTCGACCATTCAGGACCTCTGTGCAAGCAACGGCTGTCGGGAAGAGAGCGGTTGAAGGCGGGCTGCAATCTGCCTGCTCCTTAGCATACGATGGCTTGGTGATGATGATGATGGTCTTCTCCTCATCTCATGGCTCTTACCCAATGCAGGGGATCGGCCGAGTGTTAGGTGAATTTTTTTGTTTCTTCGCAATACTACTCGTATATGCTAGGGATAGGTTACACAAAAAATAATTACTGAATAATAATATATAAATGTTTAAAAAAATGAAGAATTTAGGTCTATATTCTTTTAGTCTGACTGATAAATTACTCTATGGCGTAGTAAACATCCCTGTGACTGTAGCCCAGAGTAGAGGCGCCGAATCATTGAACAACTGATTCGGATATTTTCAGACCCAAGTTTCGAAGAGGTGGTGCTATGAATCTTCTTCTCAATGACGTATACCAGCGTCAAGATAGAAGGTAATGACTGATTGTTTCCTCATCCTTACAGAAGATACACAGATGAGACAACACTTGACTTCCTCTATGCAGGTAAAAGTTGAGCGAGGTAAACCGGCAGCAAAGTTTGGTTATGGCCACTTCTATTAATCCCGACCGCGATAACTCACTGTTCCAGGGGAATAATAGGTGCTTATATCCTGGAGAAGCTGCCAACACAGGATCTGTTAAGAATTTTTTGAAAGTTAAGGTGCAGAATCGCGCAATTGTAATGTATGTTGTCAGTGGAAGTACCGGAATGATTGGAAATCCAGAACCTTTGTGTCCTGGTACCCAAATTAAGTGGATACATTGTAGGTGCACGAGATTTAGTATTCTGAAAAGCTTGGAATTTTTCTACAGATACAGTGTACGGAGGAAAAAAGAAAAGAAAAAGACGGAACAGACATCCAGGTGACAATGGCCTAATGCGGCATCAATGTATTGTGCCCCGTTCTCGACTGGTCCTTTTCCAACCGCATTTCAGGTTTCACACCCATCTTCATTGCAGAATATTTAGCTGCAGGATTGGCCTTTCGAAAACTGGCAACATCATTAAATTCTGCCACAGTAATAACGGACTCGCGATAGTGATTTTAGACGGGACCAGCTATCAATATTATTCTACAACAACTTTTATAGTAGCGGATAAATTTCGGAGGCGAATTATGATGATAGAATTCTCTACACCATCTTTAAGAGATTCCCCGAATTTTATTATTTTAATGACACCCTGAAAAACCTCCTCATGTCAAGGCGGAGGTCTCGTAGTTTTAATTACTATAAGTTACGCTGTCGTATTTCTCAAATTAATTTTCATTTATTCAGAGCAGGCTTGACTCCCTCTGTGCTTTGTTCTTTGAAGGAAAGAGAGAAAACTATAGAACACTTCTTTATCTCTTGTCCAAAGTTCCCAACATTAAGAAAGATATCGCTAGAAACGCCGTTACGAATCCTTGGAGCAGATTTGACAACGATTACAGATTTTACCCCTAAGTGCGCGTACTCTTGGGCACAGCAACGGGAAAATATGCGAAGCCGTGCAAGATTTCATTGAACAGTCGAACAGATTCACTGAATAAGCTCACTACTAAAGGTTCTCAGTTAACCGATGTAAGCTACAGAACATTTCTTTTATATCAATCATTTATTTGCTATTCCAATAAAAACTAATTAATCTAATCTTTTAAGTAATCTACGAAGAAATCATTATTTGTGTTGTACTGAACGAGAAACTATTTTTTTGCTTGAATTTAAATATACAATGAGTATGGTGATATGTGGGGTTTAACATCCAAAAACCACAATATGATTATGAGAGACGCCATAGCGGATGGCTCCGGAAATGTCGACCACCTAGGGTTCTTTAACGCGCACCTAAATCTGAGCACACGGGCCTGCAACATTTCTGCCTCCATCGGAAATGCAGCCGCCGCAGCCGGGATTCGAACCCGCAACCTGCGGGTCAGCAGCCGAGTACCTTAGCTACTAGACCACCGCGGCGGGGGAGTTTAAATATATAGATTACTTTTTTAAGGCTACACGATTCTTGGCGACCCCCAATGTGCGTGGGAGCCAAATATTTAGGAACTGCCTCTACAACCCGGTGCACGAAAAATAATTTAGGTGTGGACTCTCCACCCGACGGCACGTTCAGATAATGCTCGCCTCTTTCCTCCTCTCGGCCCCATGTCACAGCGCCACCACTAAGCCACGGCCGGCACACGTAGACAATCTGCGTGCGTTGCATCCGTAGTGGCGTTGCTCCCTAAGAACCATAGTTTCCTAAAATTAACCGGAGGGGACTCTGGTGCTGCGATCGTTCAGCGTACAACTGAATGGAACGCAAATTAAAGAGGTTGAAACCATCTGAATTCTGGGGGCCCACTTAAATAGTTGGGGCAACAACTCATTTGCTTTACATAAAGTAAAAACCTCCTGCCTACAAATCTCTCGCATGATTCGTCGGGTGGCTAACCGACGACGAGGGATGAAAGAACACTACATAATGCGACTCATTTAGGCATTTGTTATCAGTCGCATAACCTATAGCTTTCCTTACCTGAGGGTCTTGAAAGCAGACGAGCACAAAATAGAGAGTCATACGTGTGACTCTCAAGAAGGCTCTCAACCTTCCTCTGTGGACATTTACGGAACGTCTGGTTCAAATGGGGCTTTACAATACCGTATCAGAACTATTCCATGCACACCACACGAATCAAGTCATGCGCCTCACCATCACTAAAATAAGACGGAAAACACTATCAGAACTTGACATCGAAGCCCCCATTGAGAGAAGGGGAAGACAACGTATCCCACTTGAATTGAGGCAGGATTTGATCATCAATTCACTACCACGCAACATGCATCCTCAGTTCCACGAACATCGATGTCGGGCACGGGCACAAGTTCACAACAACTACTCAGATGCTGAGGACGCCTTCTTTGTCGATGCAGCTGGACCAGTGAATGGCAAATATACAGCAAGCGTCATTCATTGTGGAAAACAGGTTGATTGTATATCAGCCCAGTACACAGACACAACTAGTATGAAAGAAGCAAGAATTGCCCTCGCCCTACGAAAGCCAAGATCCACCTTCGTTATAACAGATTCAAAAGCAGCCTACCGAATTTTTCGTTAAGGCTACATTGGCCCCATTGCGCAACGACTTCTTCTACAACTCTCGTCCTCACGCTCAGAGGGTGTATGGAAACAGCTGATATCGATACCCGGTCACTGTGGAGTTAGAGGCAATGAGCTCGCCCATGCCTTGGCCCGAGAAATACTCTTCCAGACCTCCGACCCCGGCATATCGCACCCACCCTCGGCTATGCGTATGGACCCGCTCCTAACATGGATAGATAATCTAGAACATCAAAGACTCCAAAGACAGAAACTTCTGCCCCCGGAGCCAAAGCTCAGTAAAGAATCTAAGGTAGCGTGGCGTCGCCTGCTGACCTTGTCTTACTCCAATCCATACATACTGTCCAAGATAGAGCCCGACACATACGCACCACAGTGCATATTCTGCGTCACTAAATCAGCCACCCTGTACCACATGGTATGGGAATGCCCACACAATCCATCTCTACAACCCAGAGCACAGCACAACACTGTAGGGTGGGAGGCAGCTCTGTCCAGCTTGGAGGCGAAGACCCAAGAGGCCCTCGTGAGACGAGCGAGGACAGCGGCCTGTGCCAATGGGATCCCGCACTAAGAATCCCACACACCGACATTCCTTCCTTGATCGCAAATAAACGTTTTATTCTCTCTCTCTCTGTCTACCATGGGAATAATGGGTAGGTTACTGATTTGTCTAGTCTTTGTACTTGCGGGTGGCGAATCGCACTTGTGGCTCCGTTTATTGGTGTGTTTATTGCCGTTTATCAGAGGTGAAGCTTTTCTTAGTCTAACTTTGTCAATAGTCACGCTCAACCGAGAGAAAAAGAGACGAAAAAAAGAGGACAAAAGAAATGAATGACCATTTCTCGTCTTATTGATTGCGATAATCTGCCACTGCTCCCTTAGTGGCTGCTGCGCGCGCTTTGCCTGAGTGCGCGGAAAACAAGTGCCTCTCTCAGTCTCCTAGATGGTCGCCATACGTGGCGAATTGTTGGTGGGGCATGGGCGAAGCAGAACGGCGGGTGCGTTGAAGACGCTTATTCTCGGCTTCCTTGGCTCACGTCTCGTCGGTTTTACCCGCGCGCAGTCTGCATTCTCGAACGTGATAGCACGCACGCACGGAAGGATGGACAGACGAAAGCTTCACCCCACTCATCATCATTCACACCGTAGATATTCTGTTATTTTTTGGCTTTGATTGGCTGCTGCGCGGGCTGTTCCTGGGTGCGCGGAAAGCGAGTGCCTCTCTCAGTCTTCTAGATAGTCACGGTGCGTGTTGTATCGTTGTTGGGGCATGGACTCTCCTGGATAATCGCCGTACGTGTCGGATCGTTAGTGAGGCTTGTACGAAGCGAATCGGCAGGCGTGATGGGCCGTGGCGGCTCGTGCTCGTTGACAGACAGACAGACAGACAGACAGACAGACAGACAGACAGACAGACAGACAGACAGACAGACAGACAGACAGACAGGCAGACAGACAGACAGACAGACAGACAGATGGAAGGACGAACACACGGACGTAAGCACGGACGAACGGACGGTCAGACGCACGGATGCACGCATGCTCGGATGGATGCATGCACGGATGGACGGACGCATGAACAGACGGACGGGTGCACGATGAATGAATGCACGATGGACGAACACACACACGGACGGATGGACGGATGGATGCTTCGCCCCTCTCATAATCATTAACCCCGTAGATATGCTGTGATATTTCATTACACCATGATCTACGTCTAATTCGAAGCACCCCGATGATCGAATACCTGAAATAAGAAAATCCGATCTATTTCAACTAAACATCACTTTAATAATGTTTTCCGCAGTAGATTGGTGCCGTTGCACGATAAAATACTGGCCGACTGTTTCGTCCTTGTCGCAAAACAAACAACGAAAGGGAAGAGCCAGACCAGCGTACGCGACTGCGCAGGTAATCCGTAAACGTCACGATGAAGATGTTCGTGGTACTTGGCATAAATGCTGCAGTTTCTAAGACAACAACTGGAAAGAAAAGGTGACAGTAGACGCCATTGAAAAGAGTCACAAGTAAGCACACTATCAATGAAAAGGGAAAACGAAGAAACGGTGCACATTTCATTAAAAAGAAGATAACCTAAAAAAGAGACCGCTGTAAGAAACACGAAACAGTTTCTTCGTCGAGTGTCTACCGTATGGGCACGAGAAGGATGAATGAATGAACGGGGGAACTTTATTGTCCGAGAAAGATTAACCAACGATACTTTGTGTAGTACTCTAGTAATGGTAGAACGTATTCCGTAGGAGATTGTATGTGGCGTATATCTGCATTTATGGCAGATCACAAGGTTCGAGCAACTTTGTAAAATTGGACACTGAAGCAATGTGTCAAGTTTTATGGCTTTTTTCTTTGTTTTTCATAACACGATGAGACAAGATGACACAGCAGAGGCGTTTTTTACTCCTGCTTAAAGTGCACACTTTGAGATCATGACCACAATATTAGATCGTACTTTTCTCTTAAATAGGGGTGAGCTCCTTTTGCAATTTCGTATCTATGTTGGCGCCATGTATAATAACGCCCCGTTCAGTTGTCCCGCAAAGTGGGTTTGCGCTAGTTATGAAAGGGTCGTGATCGTCCTCTAACATCATTGCCGTTATCACAAGAAACTTAAAATACTGATCGAGAGTAGTATACGGTTTTTTCACGTAGTATAAAAAGAAGAATATATATATTTTCGGAGCTGTATTTTAATGATGCCTGCTAAACATCACTTAGTTGTCAAAATATAGTGATATTGAGAAAAAAATGCCGCCTTATCCACGAAGTGAATGATGAGGAGTGGGCGAAGCTCCGGAGGTAAACCTGGTAAACCATGAATCCTCCGTACATTTTGCCCACTCGATTTTATTGCAACGCTCCCCCTAGCGTACGTCGCCGCACTATATCGAACGATGACACGCGCCATATGTGGCATCATTCCTATTTTATAACACCTCGCATCTTTCATAATCAACTACACGTACCGCCGTCTAGTTTATAACATCTTGCATCTTTTGGACGGACGGACGGACGGACGGACCGATGGATGGATGGATGGACGGACAGAGGAACGGACGGACGGACGGACGGACGGATGGACGGATGGATGGACGGACGGACGGATGGACGGATGGATGGATGGACGGATGGATGGATGGACGGACGGACGGATGGACGGATGGATGGGTGGATGGATGGATGGATGGATGGATGGATGGATGGACGGACGGACGGATGGACGGATGGATATGGCTGTACCCTTTAGATCGGGCAGTGGCTAGCGTAATACTTAGAACTGAACGAGAGGTGGCTACATACAGGGGACGCACAGCCCACACCACAACTCAGCTCCATATCAGTCTTCCCTCGGGACCGATCCGTGAGGCCAAGGAGATCCGCGTCCTTGGCCTCTTCATACACCACCAACGCAAGGCCGACACCACAATAGCCAAACTTCGCACGGTGGGAGACCAGGTGGGCCGTATGGTCCGCCGGGTCTCCAACAAGCGGGGCGGATTACAAAGCAGGGATGCAATGCGGCTTGCCCATGCTTTCGTAACGAGTAGAATACTCTACTCGACTCCCTACTTGCACCTACGCAAACAAGAGGATGATCAACTCGAGGTCATCCACCGTAAAGTTATCAAGCGGGCTCTCGACCTCCCTATCACCACGTCCAACCAGAAACTTCTGGCCCTAGGCGTGGTGAATACCTACCGAGAACTTCGAGAAGCCCACCTCGTTAACCAATACACGCGCCTTGCACAGACCCATTCCGGTCGCCGCCTCTTGGACCGAATACACATCAAACACGATTACTATATTGAGGAAAGGGTGAGAGTGCCAAAACCTTGGAGACGCGCCCTCCGGGTCCGACCCCTTCCACGCAACATGTCCAAAGAAAACCACAGTGGTCGCGCGCGGAAGCGTTGCAGCGACACTTTGGTCAAGAGGAACACGTGTGCTACGTGGACGTTGCCGGCCCGCACCATGGGGGGTGGTATACTGTCGCAGTCATACACAACGCAAACACCGTAAACGGGCTCACTTTCAAAGCCTACAGCGCAACACACGCGGAGGAGATTGCCATCGCTCTGGCTCTCACCTATCCCTCTTCTAAACATATCATCACCGACTCACGAGGGGCCTGTCGGAACTATCAGCTAGGGTGGGCTTCACCGCTGGCTCAGCGCATACTGGAACCTAGCTGCCGATACGTTAATCCAACTCCGCGAAATCTGGTTTGGGCACCCGGTCACCAAGGACTCAGGGGTAACGAACAGGCCGATCAGGCCGCCCGCGCACTCTCTTCCCGGGCTATCTCCCTGTCTTTGGAAGCCTACTCGCAATCAGACAATTCGGCCCTTTCATTCAAAGATAATACCAATTACTACAAGGAGGAGCACCGGCGCTATCCAGACCCTTGTAAGGGACTGCATCGCGCTGACGAGCGCCTCCTTTTAAAACTGTTTACCAATACTGTACTGTGCCCGGCGGTGCTAAAACATTTCAAGTCATCCTTTGATGGCACGTGCCAGTTCTGTGGTGAGGTGGCTGACACCTTTCACATCGTCTGGGCGTGCCAGTCTAATCCATCTATCCCCCCCAACCCCAATCCCACGAGAGAGGACTGGGAGGCGGCCCTGCTCGGCTGTCAAGACCTGAAGGCCCAAGAGGCTCTGGTTCAACGGGCGCGGGCGGCGTTGCTTGCCAATGGAGCCCCGGAATAGGGGTTCCACCTAGTGCTGTGAGGGTAGGAGGCCAATAAGGCCCCAACCCAATCACCTCTCTGTAACTATTTAACGGTTATTAAATGTTTTCACCACCACCACCCACAGCCCACGCGTTAAGGAGCTTCGCTCCTAAAAATAGTCCGGATCATTGGTTTTTGTCGATTTTGTGTAGCGCTTTGGGAAGCTGGATGCAAACCTTAACTGACACGACGAGATAACCAGTGAAGATGTAGAGAGTAAACTTCACAAATATTTATGTAGTAACAATCACATAAATTTAAAATAATTACAGTGGACCAGAGGACACCCTATCCGTCCTCTCGTCCAAATAGGGCTTGATTCCACAACCACTAACTTACGCGTGGGATGCCTTACCCGTTGCGCTGCTATATTTTTTGCATTGTATGAAGGAAACACAGCTGGACAATTTCGTGTAAGGTGTATGGATGTCGTGAGGTGAACTCACGCATTAATAGTATTATAAAAAAAGAAGACGAGCTGCGACGGAATGCATCTCCCTGTACAGTGTGTTGCATATTTCTGATTATGTAATCAGTGAGCGTTAGCCAGTGCCAATTGTAGCCAGGACGTCACGTAACACGAGACCTTGACAAAACTGCAGCTGGCGAATACGCCCTCTCTTTGGTGAACTGTCTGTTCGATTAATTTAAACGTGTCTAACAATGACCTCTCGGAAAATTTCTGTGTTTAGTTTTCAAACGAGGCTAGCCAGCCTGAAGATTTGAGAGCTTTAAGAGGCATGCAAGCGTTATATGTCAGCGAGAAAACACATGGACTTGAAGGCGACACACACACACACAAAAAAGGTTGCCACAGTGAATAAAAACGTAACATGTGATTGTTTATTCAAACATTCCACTCCCCTCTGAAGAATACGTGCGTCGCCTTCAAGTATTTGTGGTCTCACTTAGTTATTCGTTAATATAGGGGGGGGGGGGCAGTTATAGATGAAAAGCATCACGAGAGTTAAGTGGGCTTTGTTTGGAACGATTACATGCATGGTTTACATTTAGCGTCACTGGAGAGCTCTTGTTTTCCGCATGTTGAGGAACCGACTTTTCTATTTGTGAGCACGTGAATAATTTTAATTGAGTTACCGCTGTATTGATCGCCCATCGCTCAACCGCAGATGACGTTCTGGTCTCATCAGTCGCTTACGTACGCACAGCTAGCTCAGTTTGAATGTACGCCCCCTAAGATCTTCTTCATGTTGAACATGCGGAACGTGCCTGTCAGACGGCTGCGCTTAAGTAGATTGATGTGCTCTTGCGAAGTAATTTCATTGTTCTCCGATGTAATTGGGACGATTATTGCAAGATACTCCAAATCGTACCTAATTTGCAGAGAGATTTAAGGTGGTTATTTATTTGATTGATATGTGGGGTTTAAAGTCTGAAAACTACCATATGATAACGAGAAATGCCGTAGCGGAGGACTACGGAAATTTCGACCACCTGGGGTTCTTTAACTTGCACCCAAATTGGATGACACGGGCCTACATCATTTTCGCCTCCATCGAAAATGCAGCAGCCACAGCCGGGATGCCATTCCGCGACCTGTGGGTCAGCGGCTCAGTGTGTTAGCCACTAGACCACCACGGTAATTCAGATTACCGAGCAATCTGAATTGTACTTATTGACAGGCAATGTCCTCTTTCATTAGAGTATATGCCAGATAACGCAACACTTAAAAAAGTATGGCCGAGTTACTCGAGAGTAGCATTTAGAACATGTTGAAGCTTGAGTTAAGGCTTACGATTACTATGAGGAGTGCCGAGTAACCTAGATGGTTTCTCAGCTCAGGTACAAATCATGGATGGATATAATTATGCGTTTGGGTGCCACGGATGCGTCCCCTATATAATAGGACAGGGAACGCACACGAGAAAATTAATAGCGATGTGTAATTTCTTCTGTGTAGAAATCATCGACAGGGCTCATTCTGTCAGCTGAGTGAGACTCATGGTACATCCGAAAGGGCAGTTTTTTATCGGCGTAATCGCATGTCATAGCGTCACCTGGTCAACTCGTCGCCCGAACATATCGCACACGCGTTAAAACACTCTTTACTACTGCTTCTATTAACGCCATGCAAGGGCTACGCAAGCCTTACTAACACTTTTAATTCTTCGCTGTTTACGGTGGTTTTTGGGACGCTAAAGCCCACATATCAATCAATCAATCTTCGCTGTTCAAGCGAAACAGCTTTCTTTTTTCATTCGCGCTTCAAAGAAAGGCGGCTGTTTTGACCGGAATTGATTCTGTCACTTCATGTAGAGAAGTGTGAAGCTCGGTGCGCTTCTGAAGAATTTCTTCGAATTCTATTCCTTGAAAGCTTCCCAGAAAAACACCCCCTGTAAACGGTGGTGTGAGGCTTTATAGTATATCGCGCCTAAATAACGTAATATGGCTGTGCTCGTGAATACTATACAGTGTTCGATGTACACGCTGTCGTCATCTGTTGTTTATCCTTCACAATGTTTATCAATTTTATTCTCCTTAATGATTAGCTAGTCCTATATTTTGATAATAAGTAACATACATGAAATGCTGCCGTATTTTCGCTCAGATGCTGGTGAATTAAAATAACTTACACTTCGGTTTACCACGTGTATTCGCAAAATACTAACCACCCCTATCACTGGCACAATTGATGTTCCGCATAGTTACTCGGGTCTTTTCATTCCTTTCTCTGGCGTTCCCGGCTTATCAGGGCTATGTGTTTATTTTTTCACATATATAAAACTGCTCGATTGTTCATGAAAAATAATTAAAGAAAAAGCTAGCAGTCGTGTTGGCCGAACACGCAGGCTGCACTGGTTTGCGTAACCAACCGTATATTTGATATGATAATTTGATACAGAGCAAACAGCATACGCTGCGCAGAACGTGCGCCAATGCTCTGCGCTGCCTGTACACTCTCTCCCTCTGCTTGAGATCGTCCGCCGAGCTGACGACACCGTGCGACGGGAGCATCGCGCGGCCATTGTCGCCAACGGCGCGGGACAGCAATGGCGGCCACGCACCGCTGGTTTCACCGGGTGGCACAAGAAGAACGGCACGGCCTCCGCCACGCGCCTTCGTCATGCAACCCTGGAGTCACGCTTGGGAACACCTTCCGTGCCGGCTGCCGCCTGTTGGTGCACTACCCCAGAAAGCCACACTGTACGAAAAAGACGGCGAGCACTTTCACTTTTGAACTCAACTGCCGCTTGCTTGGAAGTTTTTATTCCCGCCTCATTGTTGCTCTGTATTCGGTTTGTAATTGCAGATGTGCTCTTCTTTGTCCTGCAACTGGGACCTCTTCCCAGTGCATCTGGGTTTGAATTGTTGGTGTAGTTTGTCGTGCTTGTTTTGAAAAAGACTTCATCCGCACGTGGAAATATTTGAAGCACAGGATGAGCTACGTCTGCCGCAGCGAAAGACGGGGAGAGGGCAAAGATGAGGGGTTTGCCGCTGTCGTGTCCGTGGTTGCTTGCGTGGACAAGTGCGACGCGTTGACGTCTATAGGCCGTAGCGTGCACGGTACGACGCTCGCGACCCCGCTCTTCTTTCGTGGGCATGTTTTTATTTCTCTGGTTTGCTTATGGCGGCTCCCCTGACTACCTGGGCTCCCCACCCGACGCTATTCATTATTTGGCGGCGCTCTGATCTTCTTACGCTTGTGGGGAGGGTATGGATGCACGTGGCCGACTGGTATAAAGCGACGAATTGAAGGAATGGCTCGCTTTTTTGCGTGTCTAGTTGCGTGGTAATACCGTCGCGGAAGAGTCCAGAGAGGACATTGCGCGTGGCACAGTGTTCATAACAGGCCGTCCTTTTAAGAGTGTCATTTTAAGCCGTGCGTCGTCGGTACCTTCTTGCTGGCTAAAGTTTGGTACAGGTAGCCGACAGCCTGCCCCACCACTACAATGAGGCTGTGCACGTTCGGACTATGGACGGTGAGTATTATGTGGGCTGGTAGGCATGGTTTCTCGCTTATTCGTTGCCGTTTAGAATCCTGCCTGCTTACACTCCTTTATTCTCGTTATACTAGTAAGAAAAGTTAAGCAGCAGCTCCCGAATGTATCATCACGTGACCACGAAGCATCGTTTTGAAGTGACTACAAGAAAAACTAAGGCTTCAATAGACACCTTTCTGCTCAGGAAGAATCAGTGAATGAAAAGACGTAAGCACCGATCACAAGAGAACAACAATGCATTGACGATTCGGCACCAAGAACAGAAGCCTTGTTCAGAACAAAGAAAAATATCGTTCAGGATGCTGAAGCGTCGGTCTTTCATCTTGTGGTCAGCGTGGTCGTATTTTTGTTTAGTGGCTACGAAACTACCGTTCCGATAAACGGAGGTTGCACTAAACAAATAGTTTATTCTTATGCAGTACGATTTATTCTGTTGTGTATGTTTACAAAATATTCGTATTCAAAGTATCACAGAGAACTATGGGCAGGACTTCAAGTGACAGTCGAATGGAGGAATCAAAGTTATCATATTTTATTGGAGCTTTTCAAGAGTTCTATTTTGCTACGCATTAGCATCATTTGTATCTGAGTCAGCTCGTAGTATTGTTTTCGAGCGGCACCCACGCATGCTTTCCCCTGGGCCTGGTAGTGCCTGTATTTATCGTTTTTAATAAAGCGTATGTCTCATAGTTTCTTGAAAAAATAATGCTTTTCCGAAAAATAACGTCGTCAGCGAATAAGAACGAACAGCTTCCATACCACATTTGCGCTTAACATGTAATATACGTGTGTAATAGGGAACCGTTTAATGATTACTTATCACAGCGTATGTCATTGAGGTTGCTCTTGAATCACGTGAAAAAATTTTAAACTTTTGTGAATAACATTCTGAAAATATATAGACTGAGAGGCGTAATAAGTACTCCAACAGTGTAAGTGTGTTGAGCCGACCACGATGTCTTGGTATGACGTGCTTAACGCAAGCTTTGTATGCGCACCTTACCGTACGACAAACTCTCGATAGTTGCTAACTCTGATACTTATAACATTTTATTATTTAGAATAAAAAAGTAAACTTTGCCTAGTTTAGAGTGCTCCTTTGGCTTCATTAGGTCCATTCATACTGTTTTTTTTCTTGACCGTTCCTGAAAATATCTACTGCTATTGGAGTTTCTTAATGAACTCTTGTGTTTTATGAGACTAACGATTGCATATCAAGTCGACTGCTTACGAATAAGCCACCATTGCAAACCATGTGCACGAACTGTCGATATTTCATGACAGGAGCGAGAGAGAGAAATAAACCTTCATTTCGAAACATTGTTCCGAGCGATGCCCAGTGTCACCCAAGATGGGAGGGTCACTACAGTCCGGGAACCCTCTGGTGTCGACGGCTTCGTGGCCCTGGCGACGAATTGTCGCTGATACTCCTGATTCTCGAGGTCGAGCTTGGCCTCTCCCGTTTTTGAGAAGGCAAAAAAAAAATTCACTGTTTACGCAGAGTCACACAAGGCTGGAACACCACAGAGCTGATCAACATTCGGCTCACCCTGGCTTCAGTAGGCACACGTGAATTGACACCCTGATGCACGAAGCATTCGCGTGATGACATTGTATATCCCGAGTATTTGATAGGTATCGATCAGGTTCGAATTCTTCCTATTTCTTTCTTTCTCTCTACATATATTCCAAATTTATCTGGCATTCCCGCTCCTTATATCATTTTCTCTATTTGTTTTCTAGCTTTCCTTATTTCTTGTTTCTTTTTTCTTTTTACGTCTCTATCTCCCGGTAGTTCATTGTCTTTAGCGCAAACCGGACAAATGGCGGGCATAACATTTCTGCTGTAAAAATGAGACAGTCATGCCATGGTTGACTACGTGTCAAACGATTCCAATATCCCAATACTGGTGTCACGGAAGAAAGCGCACTAATAATGGAAAGGGATCGCCGACTGTGACCGACCACAACATTTTGCCCTTTAATTTCACGAGCGTGTATGCGGTGTAAATAACAAGTGCTAGTACGATTGTCGATACTAAAAGCTTCACTGCCTACCATTCACAGCTATGTACTTTGACGCTGAGGCTCTAAGAAAAAATAAACATTACAACGCAAGTTGGAACAATGCCTATAGTCACATTTATCATGACTTCTGATATTTCAAATAAAACCAGTTAGGCCCCCTTGAGGTTCAGTTATCCAGAGACTACAGTAAGTCGGACGTTACGTCTATACGCGTTCAGGAACGTTTGAATTGTGCTGGCTTGGGATATATATTTTTCTAGCCATGTTGGGAATTCCCATTGTCAGGCAGATACAGTGGGTAAGTATATTCAGTGTAACGCATCGTCTGGATAGATATACATGAAAAGCATACCTTGCCTGCTCATTTATTCTTGTGAGATGGCTTGATTTATTGGATGGGAACAATGTTTCATGATATTTGCTATCTTCATGAATGCTTTAGCGTAACTTCTAAACGACTGCTGCATTTCGCAACTCCACATTGTCAATCTTCATTTTTGAAGCACTTCTTCCTGGGATAAATAATACACCATGAGAGAAAACTGTAGAGGCACTTTCCCTGTACTGCTTAATTTTTCCTGTGGTGTTTAGGCATCTGAAATTTCCCCATGTGATCTTTATTTTGACGTCACCATTGCACGCTTCAGATTGTCATCATCGTTCAAGAAAGTGACAAAAGAACACAACATAATTTCTTCAGCTTGGTTGACGCAGCCCCTCTTCCACAATAGAGATACGGAAGGATGCAGCATTGAATCTCAGCGTTGTTTGCTCACAGTGAGTCGTGGTCTGTTGACCCTGTGTCTTAGAGTATGCTGTATGATCCATATGCAAGACGACCTGGATACTTGACACGAATTACGTCTACAAGTTTTGTTACGGGTAGTACGCACTACAGGACAAGGCAGCGTGATAGTTCGATTTTGTTTTCTGCGATGGTGACTGACAGTGTTCACGCAGGACTTGGTGCATCAAGGCGACCCGGTTTAGCTTCTAATCATGCATAATTGCAGGAAGAATAAATTTTAAACAAAGAAACAAGCGAATAACCGCATATCAACGGCTCTTATTTCGACTGAACTTCATTGCATTAGATTCCGTTAAAAGGGTGTAAAAATTGAGAAAAAATGAGCTAACAACGCTTTGCTGACAATCTAGCCACTCTGCAATTTTTGTCCAGCACGACTTGAAAACATCTATGCTTCTTTTCGTGAGCAATGTAGACGATAAACTGACATAGTTTGAATAATTACGTTTTGTTTCAGCGGTCTGAACTATAAATATAAAGGCTGCCCTTTATTGCTCTACACAACGCTTTTGTCAAAATAAGAAGCGCAGGCATAATTAGGACTGGGTTGTTTAAGTTTAGGTCCTTGCAGAGTGTAAATTCATGAAAATCAGAAGGGGGGAACACACATCTTGCCTTGTATCCAGTTTTTTTATAAATGTTTGCTTTATTTTTACTCCTATCAAAACGAAATTGTACCTTAAAATAAAGATCAATAACAACCGCCAATTCCATAGCTGTGTAACTGCACTGTTCTATTGGGTCTTTTCTGTAAAAGGCCCCACCACGGTCGCCTGGTGGCTAAGGTACTCGGCTTCTAACCCGCAGGTCGCGGGATTGAAGTCTGGCTGCGGCTTCTGCACTTCCCATGAAGGCGTAAAAGTTGTAGGCCCGTGTGCTCAGATTTGGGTGCACGTTAAAGAACCCCAGGTGGTCGAAATTTTCGGAGCCCTTTGCTACGGCGTCTCTCATAATTATACGGTGGTTTTGGGATGTTAAGCCCCACATATCAATCAAATCTCTGTAAAAGATTGAGCAGCAGTTTTGCAATTGGAGCAATCACATGCAGGTGGCCGGTAAGCGTTAAAGAAAATTCAGGCAATAAGAATGTTCAGTGCACTATACTTACCTGTGAAGTCATTGAGATATACGTTTGAAAGGAAAAATTCACAGGGGGTCACTTCAAATGAGTATTCCTCCCCCAGCCTGAGTACAAGGCGGGCCAGGGTCCTTATAAAACGCCCATGAATTGCTCCCCTATAGGCTCGTGTATTTCTAACTTACTATAACCGCGCCTTTAAAGTTGTGAACCTCGTTTATGATCACCCACTAGGACGTCTGAAGGCCAAGTTGCCATCGTACAGCAAAGAAGCCTAAAATATGCAGCTAGCATGGTTAAAATACGAACGTCTAGAAAAAAATTACGTTTTGCATTCTCAACAAATCTGCATCAAGCCACATCAAAATGCGTATAAGCAAATATTTATTTTATTTATTTATACGTATACTGTCGATCCCACAGATATTATAACAGGTGGACGATCTAAGGCAGTGATTAAGTACAGTCAATAGAAAGGAAAAAATAATAATAAAAAGTAACAAAACAACAACAAAAAAAGAAAACATATAAACACATTTGTCAAAGTACAATCATATTGGCACTTTACTTAAATAACAAGAAAGATCACATAGTACCATATTATGTTTGCGAGGCTATTAAGTCGTTTTCTACTAGTTTTGTTAAAGTGGCTAAGGATGTGCTACTGGTAATGGAGGGGGACAGGTTAATTTATTCTCTGATCGCAAGCGGGAAGAACGAGAATTTGAAGGCATCTGTGTGAAATCTGTAAGGGGCAAGGGTATGAGAGTATTTGTGGCGGGTAGTTCTAGCTGCGGATAGCATTATGTAGCGGGACTTGTCGATGCTTAGTTGACCATGTAACAGTTGGTACATCAGCTTTAAGCGTGCCAATATCGCCCGGTTTTTTATGGTGAGTAATCCAGCCTTTTTAAGCAGCTCCGTAGGTGAATCTGTTCGGTTAAATTTGGTAAAGATGACCCTAAGCGCTTTTCGTTGAACACCTTCGAGCTTGCTGGTTAGCTTTTTGTGTACGGGAACCAGGCAGTGTTTGCGTACTCCAGGATGGGTCGTATAAGTGTATTG